CTTTGGTTTCATTTGGATCAAATATTTCAATTTGATTTGATTTTTTTTATCTCTAATATACATAGTTTATTGTTTAGTTCTAATCATATCATGATGGATATTAAATCATTTCTATATGATATTTATATTTGACTTATGTTGATTCTATTTCATCTTTTGCATTATGTTTGTTAACTTATAGTTATGTCCTCTTCTTTTAAATTTCAAGAATTTATTTTTTATATATCAAGAGTATGTATCCAAAATCTTACAATCTTTGGACATTTTTGTGATAGAGTTTTTACTAAATTTATTTTTACAATTGTTCACAATCATTTTTGAGGTTATGTTGAAACATTTCCATTGATATAGTGTAAATATTCATTAAATATTGCATTGAAAAGTTGAAAAAGTGATTAGGAGTGCTCTCAAAGAATACCAAGACGATCAACATAGTGAAAGTTGTGTTTTTTTGTGGCTGTTACGCTTTTGTTACCGTGTACAGTCCACTAGAGTCTATGGCATAGGCACAGGCATGATTGAGTTGGCAACACTTCTAGAAGATGATACTAAGGGTGCGTTCGACTTGGACGCTTACGCGCTGTGAGCGCGCCGTGAGCGCGCTTTCATCGTTCGACTTGGCGCTGTGAGTGTCACATAAGTACGCTCGTAGCATCATCGTAGCATCATCGTAGCATGTTCGGTGCACATATTTTGCGCTCATACGTGCTCACGCTACGGAGGTAAGGCACTTGAAAGTGTCATGGCCGTTTATCAAAACGAATGCATGGAATGCATAATCTAATCCTAATTTCATTCATTCATAGTTCAATAAGTACGCAAAAATGGCGAGCTGTGCATTACAATTATTTTTTAATATTAATATAATTATTAATTAATTTTGAATTTAATTAATTTTAAATAATTTTAAATTTTAATTTTAATATTACTATTAATTAAGCATAAGCTAACCAAATTTTATTTATTTATTAATTGTTAAATTCTTTAAGTTGCATATCACAATTATTTTTTAATATTAATATTAATATTAATTAATTTTAAATTTAATTAATTTTAAATTTTAATTTTAATATTAATATGAATTAAGCATAAGCAAACGAAATTTCATTTATTTATTAATTATTAAATTCTTTATAATCCCGCTGAATGATCCAGAAAGTAATAAAATTTACACAATTACCGTTACCGCCAGTTGCCGCCATTTTGATGCTTATTGACGCTCACAGTTATCCAAAACGAACGGAATTTAGTTATCGATTCTAAGCGCTTATCGGCCAAGTCGAACGCTAAAAATTTCTGCTTATAAACGTGAGCGCTCACAGCGCGTAAGCGTCCAAGTCGAACGCACCCTAACAAAACAAAAATCCTTTATTTTGTTTTTGAGAGTTCGAGCGCCACGAGTTTCCGTAACCTATTTACTAATTAGAATTTTGTAGAGAAGCCGGAGTTTCTGTAAGTAAATATAATAATTTAGATATATGTGCTTGTTTGTATCAGAATTCTGATAAAGATATCTTTTCACAAAATTTTGAATTATCAGAAATTACAAGTTTGTTTGTATTACAAATAAAGTTGTTTATTTATTATTACAGTTATTCACTATGTCTAAGAAATTCCGAAGACACGTTTATTAATTGCAAAAACAATTGCAATGGGGACTTAATACCATCCATTAGTTCTTGGCAACAATGTGGAATGTGTTTAAGATGGCTTCACTTTGAGTGTGACCCCAGTTTAGCTTTACGTTCCTTATCACCAGCATCTTTAGGAGATCCAAATTTTAAATATTTTTGTGTTCCATGTGAACTACATATCGAAAATAACACATATCCCAAATTAAAGTTGGATAAAAGTCATCTAAAAAGAGAAAGACAATATATAAAAAGACCTGAACCTTTTCTAAAAATAAGTTAATGGTACTAATAACATTTTTTTAATAGATTATAAAATAATTAGCAAAAAAGTGGAGTTTTTTAATTTTCATACAGTAAATAATATCTCCACTGCACACCACTAATTTATAAACAAAAAAATAAGATGAGATGTAATAAACTGCAGAAAAATAACAAAATAATTAGCAAAAAAGTGATGTAATTTTCATACAGTAAATAATATTTAATAAAGTTCCACCAAATTAATAATTCGTGCAATACTATGTGAGGGTGATTTTTGAACTATGTTTATAGAAAGTTGTCACAATAAATTAAAGATCATGTTTTTAGAACGCAAATGCTGCAGGCGGCTGGACAGAGCAGTATTTTAAATGTTGAAAAGAATGCGTTTCACCAGAGAAACCGAAAAAAATATATGTATACCGGTAACATCAGTCGAAGCGCCTATATACGAAGGCTGGCATGATAACAATATAGAAATGGCTTTTCGAAACACCAATATTAATTTCGAAAACAATATGTCTGTTAAATATTATCTCAGTGTTTTACGCATCTGGTTTTGAAGATTTGGAATGTAAAATAGTGCCCACACTAATAAATAATCGCGCCAAAATTTAATTTTCTGTAGTTGCAAGGATCGCAATTGCATTTCGTATTTCTTTCCAGTTTTGATCGTCGCAACGGTTGCAGGTATTTGTAGTAAGTTTAAGTAGTTAGTAAGTTTACTTAGTTAAATTTTAAATAAGTGAATATGGAGGTAAGTTCTCTTAAAAATGAATGTCAATTATTTAATTTAAATAATTTCAATTATTCAATTTAAATAATTTTATTTTTATTTTATTTTAATTTAAATATTTCAAATAATCAGTTATAGTTTTTTTTTAGATAAATTTCAAAATCGGTACCATTATATTTTGTTGATGTTGGGGGGTTTCTCAACTCCTTTCGAAGTATTTCTCAACCCCTTTCGAAGTATTTTATACTTCGAGGAAAAATAAAAAAATTAAATGTATTCAGAAAACAAAAACCAATGGTAAACAAATATAAATTAAAAATAAAATTCTTCTTACTCCGTAATCAATAATAAACTAAAATATATTCTATATAAATTTTATATAAATGAAAAACAAAAATGAACACTAATTAATATTGTATGAAAATGTTATCTGTTTTGGAAGTCCAAGCCGCGGCAGCTATTTGGTTGGATCTGGAAACATCAGCGTAGTCGGTTGGATAGGTTGAAAAGAAATTCGAATACACTGACAAATAAAAATAACTGTTGACTTGACACACAATAGAAATTTAATCCACTGATAATATTGAACTGATAACAAACACTGAAAGGAACTGAATGTATTGATTGCAAGTAACTGAATGAATGAATTAAACCAAAATGAATGAAAGCCACGGAATAAATCGACTCGAACACTGAAAGTAACTGAACGAATGAAAGGCACGGAAAGAATAGACTTGAATGGTAAAACTATTGCCTGCATCGGCCTTTTTATGAGTCAGAATTGCCCGATTGCCTAAATTTGAAACGTGTTGTCCAAGTAGAAAAACAAACCTTTTACAGGTCCGACAACCTACACAGGTGCGGCGCAAACATTTTCCCCCGACTAAAAGGTTAGCCTTTTATACTTCTGAAAATACTCGAAATTGGTACATAGTGAACAACCTCATGATTAGGAAGGATAGAATTGCCAAAATAAATTCAAACTTTCATTCAGAGTAGATCGGTTACGGAAGCCTGACCTCGCGCCAGGGTCCCGCTCTCACAACCTACCACATTCACACAATCTAGATTGCGGAAGTTTTATTTTCGCGCCAGGGTCTAGATTTTTGGACATTTACAAGAATCTTCCAGAGACTATGAGGGGTGTTCTCATCGCCCTGGAGATTGAAAATTTGGCAAAACTATATATAGAAGCAAATATATCATGAGATAGAAAAGTTTTTTTTTTTGAAATGATAATTCAGATATAAACTATTGAATAGGTAGGGGGCATAGTTTGACAACAGGCCGCTTGATTAGGGTATTTCCCGTTTTTACCAATGCTACTCGAACCACTCCATCGGAGCCCGGAAAAACCTCTTCAACTTTTCCCAACCCCCAATGGAGCGGACGCGCATTCTCTTGTTTTACAACTACCAAATCACCCTTTTTAATAGGATTAGTGACTGTATTCCATTTCTGTCGGACCTGTAGCTCGGTTAGATATTCCACATTCCATCGCTTCCAGTAAGAAGCGACAATATGATCTAACAATTGTTTTCTTTTAGTCAAATTCAAGTTTTCATAGTCAACGGGCAAATCCGACAGAGGCTCTTGCATTAAGAAGTGCGCAGGCGTAAGAGGTTGAGGATCCGATGGATCATTGCTCAGCCAACATAACGGTCTTGAATTCAGTAAGGCTTCGATTTGATTGAGGACTGTATTAAACTCTTCGTAGGATAAAATTTGCAACCCTATAACTTTAAACAAATGGGTCTTCACTGATTTAATATTCGCCTCCCATATACCTCCAAAATGTGGGGCAAACGGTGGATTAAATTTCCATTCAATGTCATGTAAAACCAATAATTCATTGAAACGCTTTTTATACTCTTCGGAATTTAGGAGAAGGAATAAGGAATCAAGAGTATTTTTGGCTCCTATAAAATTGGTTCCACAATCGGAGTAAATACATTTGATAGGACCACGCCGGGCTAGGAATCGTTTCAAGCAATCTAAAAATGTATCGCTTGTTAAATCTGAAGCTAATTCGAGATGTATCGCCTTAGTGGCTAAACAGATGAACAAGCATATATAAGCCTTGTAGGTTCGAGCGCCTCTGTGACGACTCATGGAGATATTGAAGGGGCCTGCATAATCAACGCCGACGTTTAGGAAAGCTCTACTGGCTGTTATGCGCGGTACTGGTAAGTCGCCCATGAATGGAAAAATGGGTTTCGGATTCTGTCGAAAACAAGTTATACACTTGTGAAGACGATTACGAATTATTGCACGAGCCGACAAGATCCAATATTTTTGCCTCAATAAAGATAATACTAAGTTTGATCCAGTATGTAAATTATTAATATGGTAGTAATCTATGAGACAATTTACTACTTGGTCTTTTTTGGCAAAAGAAGTGGATTGTTATTAGTTGTTAATCCTAATCTACCTTTAACGCGTAAACAATTATTAGAATCCAAAACCAAATTTAGTCGGCAAAACTTCTTCGAACAAGACTTTCCGTTCGTTAATAGTTTGAATTCTTCGGGAAAATGATGTTCTTGGACTAATCGAATAATAATTACCTCGGCTTGTTTCAAATCTGAAGTCAAAAGTCGGTTTCGATTTGTTATAATTTTACAAAACTTCAATATATAAGCGAAAATTCTTACAAGTTTGCACCAATTAGAAAATTTTTGCGTTAATTCATATAAAGGATTGATCGGTGGTATGACACTCTTTACTATTAGAGCGTTAGCTTTTCTTTCTTGATCAATATCTCCGGAAGGTTCAACCGTTTTTGCAGGCCAAGTTGATATAGGACCGTTTAACCAATCCGGCCCAAACAACCAATTCTTATGTTGGATAAAATCCTTAGGTCGAAGACCTCGAGAAACACAATCGGCTGCATTTTGATTAGAAGGAATGTGAAGCCATTGTGCATTAGGAATGAGATCCCGTATTTTTGTTACCCTATTGGCTACAAATGTTTTCCAACGAGTAGCCGGTCCTGCTAACCAGTGAAGGACAATCATAGAATCGGAAAAACAGTAAATAGAATCAAAATCTATACTATGTTGGTTATTCGTTAATATAAAATTCAGAAGTTTTGACAGTAAATGACAGGCACAAAGTTCAAGCCTGGCTAATGTTTGGTTTTTAATCGGTGTTACACGCGATTTTGAAATCAACAAGAAATTCGGATTGCCAAGAGATTTAATATAAACTACCGCTCCATACGCTTGCTCTGAGCTATCCGCGAAACCAAATAATGTACATTTGTTTTGTTTTGACGTTTCGAGATAACGCGGAATCTGATAGTTATTAAGATGCTCTAATTCGGAATATACGGCTAACCATGATGTAATAATAAATGATGGTAATTCCTCATCCCAATCGATTTTTAATGTCCAAATTTTTTTCAATAATATTTTATCTTAACAACTATCGGAGTTAGGAAACCCAGAGGATCCCAGATTCGCGCTATTACTGAAAGAAGTTGTCTCTTTGTCCATTTTCTCCACGTAAGCTTTATTTCGAATGAAAAATTATCTGATAAGGGATCCCATTTTAATCCCAATACCTTTGTAGAAGATTCCATTTGAAAATCCGATTTAGAGAAATGTTTATTTTGTACATCAGAATCAGGAAAAAGTTTACGCAGATTAGAATTATTAGATTCCCACTTTTTTAATTCAAAACCACCAGACGATAATACAGTCTGCAAACCCTCGCAAATGGTTTTAGCGCTATCCAAGGAGTCGATACTTGTAACCACATCATCAATATAGACATCGTTCTCAAGAATTCTAGAAATAGATTGAGAATATTTGGAACATTCGTCTCGGGATAGTTGTTTGATGGTTCTGATAGCTTGAAAGGGAGATGATGATAGACCAAAAGTTACGGTATTTAATTCATAGATGCCAATGGGTGCATCGGGAAACGGTCTCCATAAGATTTTTTGATATTTTCTATCTTGTTTACGAACCCAAATATTACGATACATTTGTTTGATATCAGCTGTTAATGCTATAGGCCCGAAACGAAAATTTAGAAGGATTGAACAAATGTCGGTTTGTAATTTAGGACCAACATGCAAAATTTCGTTCAAGGAAGTGAATTCTGAATTTTTCGCAGATGCATCAAACACAACGCGTAAAGGCGTGGAGGAACTTTCTTTTTCGACTGCGAAATGTGGAATATAATATCCATTTTTTATTTTAATAAAATCATCGACTTCATGATCTACCGGACAATAATCGACAAAGGATAATTGGTTTTGAGTCAGGTAATCTTCTATGACGGCGGCATATTTTTTATGAAATTCGGGATTTTCAAAAATTTATTTTCAAGCATGTGGTATCGCTTTAAGGCTAAATGAAATGATTTGTATAAATTTCTGCCTTCACTTTTAAAAGGCAGCGCTACTACATATCGTCCATCTGGAGATCGCGTAGTAGTTGTAGTAAAATGGTTTTCGCATAAATCATCGTTAGAAGAGGGGATTATTTCGGGAATGTCTTCTAATTGTAAGAATTTATTCATTTGTAAATGAAAATCTGAATCTGAAACATTACATAAATTAGTAGAAGTGCCGGTATTTTCAAATAAATCAGGAATGGAACCTAATATTAGATAACCCAACCGGGTTTCTAGGGCCACAGGTAATCCTTTATCATTTTTAACCTGATTAGTGCCAAGAATTTCGCCGAAAACATCGCAACCCAAAATTCCGTCGACCTCCTGGGGTGTATGAAAGTTAGGATCCGCTAAAGGATAATTCAGAAATGTTTTGATGGATGAAATCGGAATGGTAATTTGTGGTTGCTTTCCCACTATCTCGTGTACTACGTATGCACAGACCGATAACTGATAAGAATCAATTAAAGATTTCAAAGTGAAATTAACTAATCCAATAACTTTATGTGACGAATTGCCTAACCCGATCACTTGGGTTGATATTGGAAGAATTTGTAAATCAGCCTTTTTGCACCAAGTTAATGTCACAAAATTTCTATCGCTTCCCGAATCAATAATTGTACGTAATAAAATGTTTTCTTTTCTAGTAGTAACTTTTACTACTGCTGTCGGCAATATGGTAATATGATGTGCGATTTTGTTTTGATTAAATGCGCATAAAACCGTACTATTTGATTTGGAATTAGAAAGATTATTTTGATCCGTACTCGCAAAATTGCTGCCAGTATGCAATAGCGAGTGATGTCGTTCGTTACATAATAAACAGGTTTTATTCGATCGACACGTAGTCGTTATCTTATGACCCAAACAATTGTCGCATAAGTTTAATTTTTGAATAAGGGATCGCCTATCAGGTATACTCAATGATAGAAATTTGAACAAGTAAACACTCTGTGTTGTTCCCGACACACAAAGCATTTGTTATCATATTTATCTTTTAACAAAAATGACCGGCTAATTTTAGTGTTTTTGTAATTGGGTTTGTCATTAGTGAAATTGTTGGTCATACCATATACTTGATTTTTTGCCTGTTGTGACTTTTGAAGAAAATGCAGGAGGTCTTGGTATTTGGGAAACTCACCTTGATAAAAATGCTCGAATTTTTCTTGTAAAACGGATCGAGTTTCGAGAATGCCAGTGACGTAATAAGGAAATCATAGGCGTCGGGAATATTCAATTGGGAGAGCGCTTGCACCGCGGTATCGAATTTTTCCAGGAATGAATTTATTTGTCCAGATGAAATGGTTTTGAATGACAATAGTTGTTTGAAATAATTGGTGGCTAAGTACCGTTTATTTTCGTATTTTTTTATGAGCGCTTCCCAAAGAATTTGATAATTATTTGCGGTCGGTAGTATAGAATGAAATATTTTTAAAACCGGACCCTGTAACGCTCCTTTTAAAAAATGAAATTTTGAAACATTATCTAACTCGGTATTTTCATGAATTAGTGAATTGAATGTTTCATAAAATAATGGCCATTGTTGAATATCTCCTGAGAATTTAGGTACTTCAATGGACGGTAAATGTTGTTTGGGTACTATGTCTTTAATTGAAGAACTATGCGCATTTTTATTATCTATAATTTCTCAGCGTGTTTTATTTTGGCATACATCGTTTCAAGGGCCTTTATTGCGGAATATTCCGGAATGAAACTAGGATTATCTAAATATTTTAATTTGTTTATTTCATCGCACAATTGAATAAATTGTTCACGAGCATTTTCAGTAATATATAAATTTTCAAGAAATTGTGTCTTATTTGAAGATACATCAATCTGTTGCGATAGATCGTACGTTTCTTGCACAATTGAAAAGTACATCTCTCTCTTGGCGGTTAGACGTGCAATTTCTGCACCAATATCGATTTTAGGCGCCATTATATATATTTTTGTTTTCTGTATACACCCAATTAATCCTAATAATAATTAGGATCCGGCTCGAAGGACCAAATGTTGATGTTGGGGGGTTTCTCAACCCCTTTCGAAGTATTTTATACTTCGAGGAAAAATAAAAAAATTAAATGTATTCAGAAAACAAAAACCAATGGTAAACAAATATAAATTAAAAATAAAATTCTTCTTACTCCGTAATCAATAATAAACTAAAATATATTCTATATAAATTTTATATAAATGAAAAAACAAAAATGAACACTAATTAATATTGTATGAAAATGTTATCTGTTTTGGAAGTCCAAGCCGCGGCAGCTATTTGGTTGGATCTGGAAACATCAGCGTAGTCGGTTGGATAGGTTGAAAAGAAATTCGAATACACTGACAAATAAAAATAACTGTTGACTTGACACACAATAGAAATTTAATCCACTGATAATATTGAACTGATAACAAACACTGAAAGGAACTGAATGTATTGATTGCAAGTAACTGAATGAATGAATTAAACCAAAATGAATGAAAACCACGGAATAAATCAACTCGAACACTGTAAGGAACTGAAAGTAACTGAACGAATGAAAGGCGCGGAATGAATTGATTTGAATGCCAAAAACTATTGCCTGCATCGGCCTTTTTATGAGTCAGAATTGCCCGATTGCCTAAATTTGAAACGTATTGTCCGAGTAGAAAAACAAACCTTTTACAGGTCCGACAACCTACACAGGTGCGGCGCAAACACACATATAATCAATACAGCCAAAAAATCGGAAAAAAAATTAATATTGGAAATAAGAACAAAACGTACGAAATACAAAATATGTTTTTAAATATATCAAAGACATATTTTTGAAGAATTATAAACTAAACAGAAATAACTGACAAATACAGGCATATTTTTAAAGTACTACAAATTAAAGAGAAATAACTTATTAATATTAATTACTTAATGACTAATAATAATATATTAAAAACTCAAAAACTAATAAAAGAAAAGCGCAGGAGTATTGACGATGGAATGACAAATTTAGCAGGAATAAATATTTAAAAAGAAAAACGTACAGATAATTTAAAAAAAAAACTAATATTTTGCAAACAAGATATTCCTAAAAACATAAAATATATATACTGATATAAAAAAAATTAGAGAAAACTATTTCCTACGATTAAAATTCATTTATGAGACATTCTTGTTTATTATCTCTGCATTTAAAATAGTTATTTTGCTATCTAATCAAAGTTGCATTTGACGAAATCTTAGATTAGTTTGCGTTCGGAACCGCGTGAGCGCTGAATGAACTGTATGGTAAGGTGTGCCGGCACCCTTACAACTTACTCTGCTCTCCGTTTGCTTGCTTTGTAATCTATGTCGTGCGGTGAATCACTTTGCATTATTTTCAACCATGTGTTTTTATTATGTCAATTTGATTCTGTTTAAATTCAGTGTTTTAATGTACGATTAATGACCTAAATTGGCGATAAAATTATTTACAGGCTTTCGGTTAGTATTTTGGTGTGTCGTAGTTTCGTGTATTTATTAAATCTGTGAAGAAATAACATTTGACAGCTTTCTATTCTGCATTCTCTTTTATTTTATTTGCGAAATATTCGTTTGCAACGTTCTTGCTTTTTGCTTATTGCTTATTGATTTAAGTTTAAA